CGCTGCTCCCGCTATCAGGATGTGCTCTGCTGCTGGAGTGCCGCAAGGATGCTTACTCTCCAGGGCTGCCCGCACGGTTGTGGTGGAGTCCTTGATGGTGATCGAGTCATCGATACCTAACACACCGGATGACTGCGTGGACTCAGCTTCAGATAGGGAACGCAGGGCATCGTGCACACGTCCTTCTGCCATGAGGGAACCAAAATGCCTTGCCTTGTCCTGCTCACCTCGTCGACGTGCTCCTCGGTGTGGCTCACGATGCCGTTGCAGGCAGCGTCCTTCCTCAACCAGAGCAGTGATATTACCATCTGCCCAGAGGGCCATCCGGCGCTGGAGGTGACTCGTGTTGTCCTTGGGCTTGGATCGACGATACGTTTGTTGTAGTAACAGAGCTGGGAGCACGGCTAGGTTGTACAGCGCTGTTCTGTGGGTACCAGCAGACTGAACAAAGTCCTGGATCTGTTCACACATCAATGTTACAAATCGCTTCCCGGCCGAGCCTGTTGGGAGCTTGAAGAACCGCTTCTTCCAATGTACGACCTCAGAGTATACGTCCGAGACCGAGTGAGGAGTGGTGTTCGCCTCACTCAAGTGGGCAGAGTGCACAGATTGACTTGTGGGTTCCATAGGCTGTGATTCGCTCCTGGTTTCTTGTGACTGAGAGGGGGAGCCCACTGCTAGCGCTGGGAGATGTACGGCTTGTTCGTTGCCGTTGCGGATGTTCGTGTTCAAGGTGCTTTCAGCAGGCCGGCTGTCAGAGTCCCGAGTAGTTGCTATTGTTGTTGAAGTTCTCTCTCGTGGCTCAGTTTGTCCCATGTCAACGCCATGACGGCACTCCGTGATGAGTGCGTTGATGCTCTGGGCAGTTGCGGAAGCGGCTGCCGAAAGCTCTTCGCACTCACTCACGGTTTGGCTTGAGTCCGCACGTAACGGGTTTGTGTCGTCGACCTGTTCTACCACTGGCAACGGAGACGTACGCACTTCACGCGTACACCCTACCGTAGGCCTGCGATTTGAACATTTCTGCTTCTTTCCCGGAGTGCAGTTCGAGCACGGACGTTCTGCTTGGCGGCAGGAACAGTTGGTTCTACAGACGCCATTACCCGCAAAAACACAGCATCGACGTCCAGCTGGGGCTTGGCTGGTGGCCGCATCAGTATCACTACCCATAGCCTGCTACTAGTTGTCACATGCTAAATCTACACGGTCACGTTCACAGCTGCACAGATGCCCTGGATCGGAGCTTCAAAATTTCAAACCGCCCATCATCACGCAAAAAAAAGCGTGCATGTATGATGATTAGTGTACAATCATGTACAACTACCGGTACATGTAGTTGTGCTGAACACTCCAACTATTTAGAAGCAAAATAAAAATTAATTAATTAATTGGCTGCATCTTCTTGCACGTGTGCCTTTACCCATCGCCATGGGTTCTGGCATAATACGCAATGAAGCACTGTACAAGCGCACTGGCTCCAAGCCACTCAGCAGAATCATCCAGTCTGCTAGGTGGAGAATGCTTGGCCACGTGCTTCGACTAGACACCTCATCCCCGGTCCAGCAGGCTATGTCAGCATACTTTCAGCCAGGAAGCTCAGGGTTCCGAGGCCGCCTGAGAACAACCCTCCCGCGATCTATCAACGACCTGAAAAATTCCAGATCCACAAACTCCCTCACATCACATGAGGATCTACAATTGTAGTTGCACTGGGGCAGCTCGCCCAGGATCGTCGAAAGTGGAAGGAACTAATGTGTGCTGTGTGTAGTGGCTGAAGTTATACAATTACACTAGATACTCTAACAATTTTATCAACAATTATGATAATTACCACAATCATATCAAATGCTGCAGAGACCTATCCAGAATCGGCAATATGCTGGCCCTGGCCTGGAGATCTGCAATTAACTACAATCAGTTTCTACTTTGCAATAATAACGGATACAATTACACTAGATATTCCAACAATTTTATCAACAATTACAGTCAGTATCGCCTATAGCGTTGGTATTTGATTTTGAGCATTTTATCACTATAAGCGATATATTACTATGACCGATACTGCATGCAATGTATGCGAGTGGGGTGTCAAACGACTCAGCGCGCCGTGCACATACGCACTACATACATGTACATGTACAATGTCATGTAGCTGGCTGTAGCTCCTGACACACAAAATCAGCATTTCCTCACGATGGAGGCATATTTTGGCAACTTGTACAAGCAAAACTCACCAAACAACACTCTCTGGACAAGTTCTTCACGAAGAAGTAACACCCTGTTCTCCTCTGACATCGCTTGATTTTACATCAATCACTATAACCGATGCGAAAATAGTGTAATAAACGTCTTTTGAAATATGAATTTGATCACTATAGGCGATATATTACTATAGACGATTATTACTATATGCGATAACTGTGTATACTTAGTTATGGCAAATGAAAATGAATTTGAGAAATTGATCACTTTATCCGGTATATTACTATAGCCGCCAACC